ACACACACACACACACACACACACACACACTGCCTAATACACACACACACTGCCTTATACATATATGCACACAAAATGCCTAATACACACACACAGAAACTGCCGAATACATACATACACCAAAACATTAAAACTGCATCATACTCACAAACTCTTTCTAATACACCCACTGCCTAATGCATACACTCCCACTCATCCTAATACATACACAAACTGCCCAATACATAAGCATGCTGCCTCACACACACATTAACTGCTTTATAGATACATACTCACATATTGCCTAATAAGTACATTGAAATATGATTATTACATACATGTAATACATACACCAATACACAAACTGTCTCATACTGACACACTGCCTAATACATGCACACACACAAACTGCTTTATAGATAAATACAGAGGTATATATATATATATATATATATATATATATTTTAAATATACTTGTCCAAGAGACTAAAGTGGACCCATACACAAACACAATGACTCGTACATAAACACAGACACTAACACTGACCCATCCACACACTGACCTACACTAACACTGACACACACATAAACATACTGCCCACTGACACTCACCAACACTGACCCATATACACTGCACTCTGACAATGACCTATACACACACAGACATACTGATCACTGACCCATACTCAAACACACTGCACACTGACCTATACACAAACACACTGAACACTGGCACACACTGACCCATACAAACACAAACTACACATTATCGGGGACACACACAGTAAAGATAACCTGCAGCACCCTGTCACATGCTCACTTTGCCTTTTATAGTGTGTTGGCTGCTGGGTATGACATCAAGCTGAATCCCGGTGGCCATGAGTCTTGAACAGTTGGATGCTGCCGCTCTTCACACCTCACTGTGAGCTGCAGCCAGGTCCAGTTACAGCATCCCGGTATGCCTGCCGGAGCTAGACTCCCTGCTTGACACCAACACCCCCCAAGGCAGCCCTAAAAGAATTTAAAAAAATCTTCCTGTCCAACGCCGAAACGGCATGTCCCAGCCGTTGGGCGATATACATTCCACATCTATGATACAAACTCAGGGCCAGATTAAGAGCCCGGTGGGCCTGGTGCTGACAATTATGATGGGCCTAATTACAGAATCTTATCGACCAAAAACACTAAAACAGTCATACCTCTCAAGCGTCATGTATCTGATGGAGTTAGTGTTGGAGGGAAACTCAAAAAATGCAGCTATTAGAAAATACATACTCTATGCTAATCTCTTTATCTAATTTATGCTTTCATTTTTCAAGTAAATCCATACCACCTAACAGCAGTGTCCAATGAAGGAGGAATTCAATGGGCCGGGTAATAGAGTGGGCCACTGATGCAAATCACGTGACCAGAACTGCCAAAAAAGGCGAACATGCCCAAAAAGGGGGCATGACTGTCCAAAGAATTGGAAAGCCAGCCTGGCATCAGTGTCCCTATGTATCACAGTGTCAGTGTCCCCATGTCGCCCAGTGTCTGTGTCCCCATTTCTCCCAGTGTCCCCATGTCTCAGTGTGTTCCGTGTCACTAGGATACTAAGGAACACTGAGAGACATGGGGACACTAAGAGACCCGGGGACACTGAGACACTTGGGGACACTGGGAGACATGGGGGCGCTGAGACGCTTGGGGACAATGGGAGACATGGTGGCACTTGTGAATACAGACATGGGGACACTGGGAGACATGGGGACACTGAGACATTTGGGGACACTGGGAGAAATGGGGTCACAGACACTAGGGAGACATGGGGACACTGGGAGACATGGGGACACAAACACTGGGAGACTAGGGGACACTGAGAGCGATGGGGACACTGAGACACTAGGGACACTGGCTGGGAGACATGGGGACACTGGGAGACATGGAGACACTGTGTCCCTAGTGTCTCCATGTCCCAATGTGTCTACCTATGTCTCACAGTGTCCCCTAGTGTCTCAGGGTCCCCAAGTGTCTCAGTGTCCCCACGTCTCCCAGTGTCCCCCAGTGTCTCAGTGTCCCCATGTGTCCCCTCGTGTCTCAGTGTCCCCATGGCTCCCTGCTGCCTTTCCCCCCCTCCATCACATACCTGAGCTGTAGTCTATCTCTGCAGGCTGGGATCTGCTGTCTGGACTCTCTGTTCTGTGTAGCTGCTCCCCTGTGGATCAGTGATAAGAGAGAGGCAGGGAGGGAGATGCTGTAACTTCCTATCCCCGCCTCTCTCCATACACAGTGACCCCTACTGGCAAGTCCTTGTATTGCAGAGTAATCTCTGTTTATACTAAGAAAAATATTTGCATTTGTATTGCCGGTATTACTACAATACTGGCACGGCCAGGCATTCTCAAATACCGGCTGTGCCTTAAAATACCAGTCAGGTGGCAAACCTAAGAGTAGTGTGTAAATGGGCCTATTCCATGGGCCTGGGACTGGGCCTGGAGCTGCAGCTCCATCAGCCCCTATGTTAATCCGGCCCTGTACAAACTGCATACTTAACACATACATACACTGCTTAATACATACACAAACTGTCCAGTAGAGACACACACTGCCCAATACATACACACACACACAGACAGTCTAATAGACATACAGACACTGCCTAATACATACACACACATAGACACTGCCTAATACACATACACACACCTTTATACACACACGTACACACACACACAGATACTGCCTAACAAACACACACAGTCAGACAGTCTAATACACACACAGGCACTGCCCAATACACAAACACACAGCCTAATAAACACACACAGGCACTCATACACTGTCTAATACACACACACAGGCCTAATACACACACAGCAAGCTGCCCTCCTTCCCTCACAACACATACTCAGGTGGAGTCTAGGGGCACTGGAAGCAGCCCAGTTGTTCAGTGCGGTACCTGTTCTGTGTCATGCTTCCAGTCTTTCTGTGATCACTCCTACCAGGAACAGGACAGGGGGAGCAGCACATGAAACCATCTCCCTCCCACTGGCCGCCTCTTCAAAGGACTTCTGGAGGCAGGAACTTGGAAAGAGGGGCTAGAGGCATGTGGGGGGCGGGGTTAGAATGTTTGTGCCAGGAAAGGTGGGGTTAGTTGTGAGAGGGGCGGAGTTAATGATTTGTGGGTGGGCAAAGAGGTGGGGTTATAACTGTAACCCCTATGCTTTGATGAAAGCATTTTAGTTAGCTGATTTACAAGGAGGAGGGCTCCAGCAGTGAGGGGAGGGCGCCGGAGGCTCTGTCACAGGCGGAAGCGGGGCCTCTGTGTTCTCGGTGAGTAATCACTGCCAGCGTACTCTAATGAAGGATTCAGACAGTATTACAGTCCCTGCAGGCGCCCCTCTCACAGAGCGCCCTAGGCCACTGCCTAGTCTGCATATAGGAAGAGCCGGCTCTGCCTGCAGACCCTGCACACGTTATAGCACATGTGTATACACTCACTCCATCCCTTATATACATACTAAAGCACACACACACACACACTTTCTACAGCCTCTAGACACAAACACAAACAAAAATCAAAGTATAAAGTTGCTAGCACACTAACACAAATCCCTATGCACATTTAAATAACTGGAGATTTTTAGTATCACAAGAATGGCCATTAGAGCGTAAGTTCACCTGCCACATCAAGGCAAAACCTCTGACTCCTACACTAATAATGCACCATCTTAAATTAACCATGACACAGAGTAATATGTCATGTGTTGTTGTTTATCGGAGGTTGTATTTACCTAATTGTAATACCTGCTAAGGAACAGATGATTGTTGGTATGTTTTAATATGGAATACCATAGAAAGAGGCTGTACATTCTTTTTAACATGACTGTATGTGTATATTTGCATACATCCCTGCAATCAAACGTCAACACTACATGCAAACACACCCCTGCAAACACTACTATTAGGCCACTATTCCTCTCGGGGCGCAAAAAAAGTATTGCATTTTAGTTCTGCCACTGGGAATAACAGTCTGGCCCCACCCCCTCCCACTGGGCAGCTCTAGTAAAAAAAAAAAAATACCTGAACCAAATTTTTTCCCCAGTCCGGTCCTGCTTGTAACTGAATATCAGTTCTCCCAATAACATCTATGGGAAAAGTGCTACTCAAAATACCAGATTTATCCTTGTCCCTTATATAAGAATCTGGCCATTAGGGAGTACTTTCCAATATGTTACTTCAGAAATGGAACAAACAAACTTAGTAAATAATCTTGTGTATGTAATAAATAATGATAATAATATATATTGTTGGTCGTCCTGCTCTCGGTTGTTTCGTTACACCTATCATACTCTTTTCAGCTACAAAACGGCTGTGTGTATTTGTATATACACCAGGGATGTAGAAAAAGCAACATATAAACGATTAAACCTTTGAAGAAGTATCCCGTTGGTCCATTAAAAGATTTTACAGCCTGCTTGGAATCAATAAAAATGTGAAAAGCAACAAGAGTTCAGCTCTGAAAGTGCTGCGTGGCTATCAAACCCGGTTTGTGGTCTAATGTGCAGTTTCTACTTGTTATTCTGCTCTGATACAAAGCAGATCAAAGGGAAAACCTTGTAGTGAAGAAGCAAAGTATTGAGCTTGGATTTCTTGATCATTCTCATATCTGAATAAACTGCTGAACCCACATTAATTCCTTCACACGTCTCTACCAATCATTTCCCAAGATGAATACACTTCTACAATTAATAAAACGGGATCAAGCTGTTTTATTAATGTAAAAGGTAGTATTCTTTAGGAAATTTGGGGTATACAATCTGAATAATATAGCACAGATTTTTCAGGTTCTCTAACAAAACAAAAGGTGGGTAGAAAGAAGGAGCTGGGAGGGAGAGGGGATCAGTGGGACTCAGGCAGACAAAGAAAAGCAATGGAAAAAAAGAACGAAGGAAACAACGCTGGAGGGGGAAAAAAAATAGAACTACATACATTTACTGTGGATAATTAGCTATTGGAGCTTTATTCAATAAACTGCAAATCCTGGACAGTTGAACAGGGAAATAACACATTTTGAGCCAAAATATTATTACTGGAGTAAAAAGAGCTGAGGTATGATATTTTGGAATAGAAGTTTCAATTCTTTCAAGTCATTTCTTCACAGTTAACTGTTTAGTGAAACGCTGCTAATGGGTTTATTGTTTATTAAAAAATAATAGTTGTGTTAGCAAGTGACATTTTAAATAAAGAAAAATGAATACAAGTTCGAAAGGCTCTGCAGATCCAGTGAGTTGTCACTCCACTGCCGAAATACAAAAAAAAAATATAAATCACAATTTAATAGATATATCACAATGATAACCCCAATAAAAACATGCATGCATTTATTATGCATTTTTCTTAGGGTATATTTAAAAACAGCATGTAAAAGCTGCAGATATCATGTCTGTAGCCTTTGTAAGACCTCCCCTTCTAGCCCTGCCCAGACTTAATGTGTCTGTCCAATCACAGACTTCCCAATGCAGCTCAATTAGAAGTCTTTGTAAGGCAAGTACTCTAGGCATTTGCTGCATCTTGAGTTTAGCTCCACTGAGTTAAACAAACCAGGACGTAACAGGACAGGTTGTCCAATTGACAGTCAAGGCATGTAGCAAGGTTCATTTATAAAAGTGTAAATTTCTAATCTGCACTTTTTGTAAAATGATAAAAGAAAACACGTTTTTCACGCATACAGCTTTTCAGCAAGCTGTGAAATTAACAGTTCAGGCTACAGTACCCTAATTGAAGAAATTTGTTTTCTTTTTAACCTATAATGACCTAAAATTCACTTTAAATATTCCTATACTCTTTATTATAGTGCATAAATCCTTCTCCATAAAATAACGTTATCATTTGTATTCTTTGTGTTAAACCTTAAGCAATTCTTCCCTTCATGTATACAGATACAATATCTAGTAAATAAATTGTTGCTGTGCTTATCTCTTTCCACTACAAAATCTTTTGCATTGCACACTTTCTAGGAGAATGTTTGGTGTGAATATATCAAAAAGATCCAAAGCAATGACAAATCTATATATATATATATATTTATTTAAACTAAGCTAAAATAGTATGTAACTCTTTTTCATAAATATTATTTATTTAACCAATTCTGTAGACATGCCTCCCTACATGAAATATGTTGATCTGCAGTTATTGTAGATGTTAGGAGAGAATGATCTTCCTGAGGGACCTGTGCAGGAAGATCACGGCAACCACTGGCCACCAGGAAGAGGATCCACTCCAGCCCTCCCAGAGCAAGGTAAGGGGGGTGGGTGATACTCTTAATTACTAAATGTGTGTGTGTGGGTCTGTGATTGAATGTGTGCTTGGGGGTCTGTGAATGTGTTTGGGTCTGTGAATATGTGTGGGTGTGTCTCTAATTGTGTATGTATTTACATATACACACTCAACCACAAATATATACACACAGAGACACAGAGTCTGTGTGTGCGTGTATATAAATGTGTATGTGTTTAGTAGATAGTTACCTAATTTGGTATCCTTAAATATGGCAATCCCACATAAGAATAACAAATAAGGGAGTTATCTATTAAACAATTAAAATATCAGAATTAAGAAAACAGCTTTTCTTAATTTTGATCTTTCAGCTGTTGTAGATAACTTCCTAAATTGGTACCTTTTTGTGGGATTGCAATATTTAAGGATGCGAAATTAGGGCATTGTTTAGCACATAACACCCTTATTTGGTGTACTTAAATGTGTCAATCCCACGTAAGGATAACAAATAAGGAAGTTATCTACTACACAACTGAAAGATTAAAATAAAGAGAAGGGCTTTTTTTACTGTTGATCTTTAAGCTGTTTAGTAAATATTTCCATTAATTGGTGGCGTATGTCAGTCTGTATGTCTGTGTGTGTGTGTAATTGTATGTGTATCAGTGTTTTAGCTCTGTGTCTGTATGTGTATGTGTGTTTTTTTTTAATATATTTTATTTTTGTAGTGCATGAGGTAACATAACAGTTTACTTTGCCACAACAGCATACGCAAGCACAGTGATATCAGAAGAGTTCACAGATTTGGCATTTAAACAGTGCACATTTTTTTTATAGTATATAAACAAGCTAATTAATCAGGCGAATTAATACATGTCCAGGTTGGTCTATAGCATGAACAGAGTAGAGGTGGGGAACATATGGGGTGAAATATAGTGGTAAATCATGCATATCCAGCTATTAGTTAGAACTATGGCAGAGTATAGAGGCATTTAGCCGATAGGACATGATGGTTACTGCTATTGGTTGAATGCAAGGGACATGCTTAAATATGATGAGAATGCAGGGCAGTAGCCCATTATGGGAGTTAAAAATTAGGAATAATACGCTAGCTTCACTGTACAACGGGCTACTTCAAGATAAGGATGGCAAGTCAGGTAAATAAAAGAAAAACAGGCATCAACATAGGCTTTAAAGTTAATGGTTGCTAGGAGCATCACCGAAAACAAGTGCATCACCGTGAAGTAAGGTGGCGAGCCGCTATACTTTGCCAAGCTTGTGTCTTGCATCACTCTGTCCGGCTTTCACCCGATGCCTTTGCTGACTATCTGAGTCAGGTATGGGAACAATTCCCAAAAAGGCCATGCTAGGCCGCTCCTCCAGCCCCAGGCTGTCTCCAGAGCCTTTATGCGGACTCCACTGCTCCGGTTTCTCACACCACCGTAAGCATAGTCCCGATGGGGTGCTTTCGTCGCTTGAGCTCGTGGTTGTTACTGTCGAGAATGTGGGTCATGTGCCCGGGTTGGCCCCCTTTGGGCTCTCAGCCTTGGATGGCAATTGCGGGCATGGGTACTTCGTGACTGGGCGCAGTTTGCAGGTGTGCTCTCTTCTTCCCCTGCTTCTTTGGTCTGCAGGTTGACCCAGTGCTCCAAGATCTGCCAGCCTCGTGGGGAAGACAGCTGGGAGGTGGTCGCCACCTGTCGGTCTGTGGCCGCTTTCCCTGTCTGCGCCCCTCTTTGCCACAGCTTCGGCCAAAAGTAGCTGAAGATCACGTCCAGCCACTGCTCGAAACTATCCAGTAGGCCTTGTGTTGTCGTGGTCAGCGCCATCATCGCCATCTTGACTCTGGCTGTGGTATATTGTGATGTAACAGGATCAGGTGAGTTCACTGACTCCCCTTGTTGCTTTGCAGTAGAGCCTATATGTTAAGTGAGTGTGCCGGGATATTCTTCACTGGCAGGGGGGGAAATGGGGGTCCCAAGTGCCTCAGCGCATTCCTGCAGAGCTGCTCGCAGGGAGATCGTCCGCCTCTCCTGCTCCTGCGTCTGCTGGTAGGCCACAATTCGTAGTTTGATTCAGTGTGCTTCTCCGAGCCCGGAAATCCACCTGGTTGAGTCTCGAGTATCACCGATGCTCTGCTGCTTCAAGTGAGTGGTTCTGGCGTGTTTTGTTAGCAATATGTTGCTTTTTGTGAGTTTCTGCTCGGAGCCCTCGTTTAGTGCGACCAGTCTGATCAGTGGCTAGGCCCCACCTCCTGTATGTGTGTTTTTATCTGTTTATCTTTATGTGTGTCAGTGTTTGTGTCTGTGTAGCTGCATGTGTGTCAGTGTGTATCTGTGTGTGACTATGTCTATGTTTCTGCATGTGTATCTGTGTGTGTATGTGTATATGCACACAAATCAGCATCTCGTCAACACTACACACAAATACACCCCTGCATTCCAACATCAGCACTACATACAAACACACCTGTGTATTAAACCACCATTATATATAATCCATACCACTGCATTCAAAAACCACACTACACACAAATGCATGCCTGTATTCAAACTCCATACATAAACATACTTACATTCCAACATACAAATGCTGCTCAGTGCTAAATACAGTTTAAAAATGTGCCGGTGTTTTTTACATTTTCATGTTGGGGGGGATAGGGGGTTGCCAAAAATAGGACCTGGGTGCCAAATTCTCTAGGTACGCCCCTGACTTTCATGTGGATGTGTGTGCATTAACTAGTATTGTTTTTCAGGGTTCTAGTGCCCCTTTATACTTGGAGTAAAATTTGTAGATATATACAGAAATTAATTTTGTCTAATAGCCAATCAATTCTTCCAAATTAAAAACCTTTTAAATCATTGTCTTCTCAGAGTCTTCTATTTGTTCCAAAGAGCTTACACGCTAATTCTTATTTATATATTATTGTACCTGATGTATTTTACAGAGCATTGTTTTCTACTACTGACGTTTGTATTACTTTGTGAAACCTTCAAAATAAGATATTTAAAAAACAACTTTTATTCAACTCCCAAGTGAATCAATCTGTCCCTTTATTCCCCAGACAAATCTACCATTTGGGTGTGTATTTAAAAGCTGTTGATTCAGACGAAATGATTTGTTTACTGATGAAACAAATTTTTGCACAGGTCTAAAAACTAATCTGGTATCCTACTTTTCATTGTGAAAAACATTAGGGAAACAGTTAAAGCTGCTTATGATCACAAGCACCCATAATGTGCCTGACATGTCATGTATTAACATTGCTGCCCAGAATTAAAAAAAAAAAATAAAGGAATTGATCAGTATTGACATTCACCTCTGCATTTGTTAAGACCACATCACATGCTAGTTCTTCCTGACAGAAATTGCATTACTAGATGCAGGCTGTGTTTGAACTCTAATAGGGAACTCTAATACTAAAAATTCAAAGTGGAATTCAGATTTCAGGCCAAAAAAAGTTTACAAGATGTATTTTATTGTATTGTGTTCCACATCTGGAACGTCAGAGATTGTTTTATTGTTTTGTGACATTTTTGTGTGTTTATTAGACTTACATGGTAACATATCAATTTTTTTTAATCATGAGCATATGGGGCACTTTTAAAATTAGGATAAATTCATCTATTTTCTTTTGCTTGACAAATATTATATAAACCAGGTGTTATTTACATTTTCCACCTTTTAACGAGGCATTATGTAGTAGATGTGGGCACCGTGAAAATATTTAGTTTGCCAACATCAATTTGTCTAAAAAAATTTTTTGTTTCAGGCGATTTGGGTTTTGTCCATGAGGTTTTTCAGTTCGGACAAATTGCATCCATGCGATCATTTCAGGCAAAACTACTAGGATAAACCAAAATAACTGAAAATATTTATAGTACGTATATAGGTGCATTATGTATACTTTTTGGAGTATATTGACAGGTGCATTTTCATGCCATTTGGTTCACAGATCAAGTGAGAAGAAACAACCAGGTGGAAAAAAGAAGGAGCAGTAAAAAATTGTATATTTCTATATTATAATATTTATTAAATATGTAATGTATACATTTTTTTCACTGCTCCTTTTTTTCCCTTTATTGGTCACTTTTCACTTGAACTGTGAGTAAAAGCAATATCTAGTGGCTGCCTCCTAAAAATCTGTAATTTTTTTCTTTGGCTGCAAGGACATAATTCCAAATCACAAAACAATTAAACGGCTCGTTCGTTCTTTGTTCTGCTTGTTTAGTGATTCGGTCATATGGCAATTCGGAGTTACGGCATTCGGACAAATCGCCTTAAATTCATCTAGTTTTTTGCAGCGGTGCCAATTCTTAAATACATTTTCTGGGCACCATAACAACTTCCTCTCAATGACACTGGAGGTCCTCGTTTCAATCTTATCTTAAATGGTTACAACAAGAGTTTACATAAAATTTAATGCAAAAGTTGTTTAGACTGCATTCATCAGCTCTACTTCTCTTGTTCTGGTGACGCCTGAGGTTTCACTGAGGAAACCTTAAAGGGATTCTATAGTGCCAGGAAAACAAAGCCATTTCCTGGCACAAGAGGTCCCTACAGTGCCCCCCTCCCTTGTGCCCTCTTTCCCACGGCGCTGAAGGCGCTAAAACCCCTTCGGTCACTTACCTGAATTCCGCCCATGTCCCTCAGCCCTGGATCAGGCTCTCCCCACGCTAATAGATCTAATGCGCTTGCGCAGCAATGGCTACATGCGTGCATTAGACCTTCCCATAGGAAAGCATTGAATCAGTGCTTTCCTTTGGGGAAAAACCTGACACTGGAGGTCCTCATGCAGAGCGTGAAGACATCTAGCATCAGATATCAGGCCAAAGGTCCGTTTCAATCCAGTCTAGTAGACAGCTACTGTGGGCAGACTCCAGTAATCACTAGCTCTCCATTTACCGAACTGTGTGAGAAGCCTCAGACATCAGAAGAATGACAGGTGCAGAGCTAATGGGTGCTATCTGCACAACTTTGAGGTTCAATTGTTCACAAACAGTAAGCCCATTAAGGTAAGATGGTACCCAGGTACTCCAGGCACGATAACAATTTTATTGAGATGAAGCTGTTACGGTGCCCAGAGTGTTCCTTTAATGTCCAGTTGACAATATTGTGTAGATTGCTTTGGTAATGTGAAGATGTTAATATTTACATTAATAAGGTAATAAACATAAAATGTTTTAAAAAAATAATTTAAGTAAGGCCTTTCTATGTGGATGCAAATATTCATTTTGTTCCTGAATATGTTCTCATGTGTTATTATTATGTGCCTTCTGGCTGGGAATAATGAGGAAAAGGTAAGGATAACCAAAGCAACAATAATATTTCATTCTGCCAAGGTGCTGCTCATTCTCTTATAGCAAGTGTTCTCCTACTTTATCATTCATGCCGTGCCCAGTTAGTGTGACTGGCAGCTTTACACTGTGAGCCAAGCTTTTATAGGTGCATTATTCAGCGGTTTTGGCAGAAATAATAATTTTTAAGCATAGTTTTAAAAGAAAATATTTCATAGAGAAGGGATGTTTAGTTTTTTTTGTCCTGGTACTATATAAGAAATAAATGGTTTTATATATAGAATATCATATATACAATGGCGTCTCCAGGATTCATACTTAGGGGGGCACATAAGGGGCCAGGGACAAAAAAAGAGGGGCAGTTATAAAACGTGTGTATATATATATATGCACACACATACATCCATACATACATACACGGGGCTCAACAAATTCCAGGTCGCCATGGTGACTAGAAATTTCGCCCTGGCGTCTGGCATTTGTCAGCCCTTTGCTAAGCCGCGCAGGAAATATTAGAGCCGGTGAGCATTCGGAGAGCATGGAGACGGCGCGTGAGGGAGCAGTAAGTTTCATGCAGTTAGTGACATGAAGTCACTCCGCCCCTGGTATCACTACAGAGAGCGCGCAGATGAGCAGAGAGAAACTGCATGAAGACAGAGAGGAGACACACTGGACGCCAGGGAAAGATCCATTCAGATCCAAATGGCAATTTGTGAATGTGTGAGAAAATGTGTGCGTGCGTGCGCGCCCGTGTGTGCTGAAAGATGTGCGTGTGCATCTAGGGGCTGCATTGTGAGTATATGTGTATTGGGGTTGCATTATGCGCTTATCAAGGAGCTATAGTTATTATATATATATATATATATATATATATATATATATATATAGTGTGTAATATTTATATATGATATATGAGATATAGTGTGTAATGGGGTGAAGCATGTATGTATGCATGTGTGTGTGGGGGTAAAGGTTTGTGGGGAAGAAGTGTGTATGTGGGCGAAGAGATGATGTGTGTGAGGGGTGCACTGTGTGTGTATGCAAAGGTGTACTCTGTGCTGGTGCGAGTGTACTGTATGTGTGGGATTCACTGTCTGTGAGGGTATACTGTGTTCAGGGGGTGTAGAGAGTGGGATAGGGAAGAGCTTTACAATTTTTACTTTAATAATAGTTTTTTTTTAAAAAAAGAATATTCCCCTTTCCCTCATCTTACCTTGCAGGTAGGGAGTGGCACAATCAGATCCGTGGTGGTTGAGAAAGCTGTCTATTCATCGGGAACAGGGGAGGTCACGAGATGAGAGTTCTGTCTCTTGGAGCTCAAGCACTTACAGAGACTGACCCATAAACTGTGCAGAGTTCAACTTCCTCTCAATGTCTCTCCCCTGCGCTGCTCTCTATGACCCCCTCTGGAGGAACGTGGGAAAAGTCCACCAGTAACAGTGCTGCTGCAGCTTGTGAAGGGAGGCGCAGTGCTCCCGACTTCAATTTAAATTAGGGGGGGGGGTACTGCATTATGTAGGGGGGCCATGGCCACCTCTGCCCCCCCCCCACAGCCCTAGTGACGCCACTGCATATATACATATACAAACAGCCACAACATTAAAACAACTGACAGCTGAAGTGAATGACATTGATGATATTGTTACTATGGCACAAATGGTGATGGCCAGACCACTAGGTTAGATCATCTCCCAAAAGTAAAGTCTTGGGGGTATGTAGTGGTTAGTATCTATCCTTTAAATGATGTAAAACCAGCTAAATGGGACAAATGTACGCATGCACTGATGACATACTAGTCCAGGCAACAAACAAATGACACAACTAGGGCTGTAACACACAAACCTAAAAGTACAAGGGTCAATAGTGTCGGTCGCAAACAAAAGCACAGAATAGAGATAGGGGTTCAAAGCCAGGAAGACATTTTATAAAAGACAGTATAACATA